GTTTGGTAGAAAGGAAATGAAAATTTTCTTTCGAAAGCAAACCAAAATTATTTTCCCTCTATTGGGAGAATATTTTTTCTCCTGAAAATAATTTCCTTCCACTAATGTTACCAAGCACATGAAAATAAAATCAAAATTTTCTTGGGAAAAATCCCCCCCCCCCAAACAAACACCCTATATGCTTCAGTTTTAAGGCCCATGCATCTTAGGTTCAAACCATGCATTCTTCTATAGGATGGAGCAATGAACTAAATAAGTTGGTGATTGCTGTTTATTAGTGGTGAGGGCCTGGAGGCTCAAAGTGAAATTTTGTTATAATTTTTGGTGTCTATGCCAAAACTCAAAACACCTGCACTCGTCCCCTATGTTTGGAGGTTTGAATTCCTAGGAGGTTTTTGTGTTTTATCATTCACGACCAGCTCATCCCAAGTTGTAACCATATCCATATATTGGGTTCTAAGTTTTAAGCAAATCACACATTATATTAGAATTTTGTGGCGGATTAAGCATTAAGGGCCCATTTGGTGAATTCTAGATTGTTGATATGAGTCATGAAATATTAAAGAAATGGTAAGTGTTCTGAAATCTTAAATTAAAGTGTTTGGAGGGAAGAAATGATGGTTTTTCTTTAAATGAAACTTTCATTTCATTAAATAGTCATCAAAATAAAATCTGGGGGCGAACCAACCCACTCCCCCATGCTTGAGAAGAATAAGACGCGCGCTAATAAATGCGCCACTCATTGGCAGACCGAAGAGCAAACTGCAAGCGTAGGTCTCTTTCCAAATAGCCGAGAGACTTTTACAATCATGAGTGATATAACTGAAATATGACCAATCACTTCTAGGGCTATTCAAATAATCCACAACTTCCTGGAGAGATGAAATAATGGTTGTTAGGGACAGTTGGGTGTGCGGTTGGTGGCCGACTGGCCGCCAACAGTGGTGGCTGGTGTAGTCGATAGTTGAGGGAGATGACAATCCCCCGGATTGATATCTCCCAAATTCTGGTGATATCAAAGCACCCCCATTTGGGAGGGTTGTGATATCCAGAGATATCAAATCTGGACCCTTTTTGGCTTTACCAAGCACCCATCAAAGGGTTTTGATATCAGGATTTCAGAACACATCTCCCTTGTGCTCACCGAACGGGTCCTAAAATTTTGTCTTTTAGTCCTATTAAGTGCAAATTTCACATTTCGTTTTTCTGCACATCACAAAGTCTAATTCTGGCTTTATTTTTTTTTTAATTTATTAATAGCTGGTCCAAAGGACACTCCATTGGAAGATGTCATGGAAAGAACATATGACCCGAAAGCCGGGAAAGGCATGCCCGATCTCTAGGGAATGCTTCTTCTATGTCTGGCTGGTTTCATCTTCCTCAAAGCTTTGGGTGCCTGCCAGAATCTAGCAGGAAAGAGAGAATGGATTGACATAAGTTGGATCTTATTATAGTATTGCAGAAGTCTGTAATGTTATTGGTTATAAGTATTAACTTGATCATATGTTTTAGGGTTTGAGAATTTTTTTTATATTGTTTGTGCACATGAGCAAAACAATAATGTTCCAAGATGTTCAGTCTTTCCCCAAACCAATTGAACACTTTTCTTGTTCCATTGTTGTGGATAGGGGTGTTCAATCGGATCAATCCGCACTGTCGGATAGTAGAACTCATTCTATATCCGATCCGAAAATATTTGGATATTCCAATTTTTGGATCGGATCAATGGAATATCCAAAAAAAGGTTTAACTTTTTAGACAAAATTTACAAAAAAAGGTAAAATGGCAAAATAAACCTACAATTGCTACCAAATTCAACATAGATTTGGTTAAAGAATGGTCCTAAAATGAGAAGAGCAAAAAAAAAATGAAGGAATAACAAATTCAAAAGAAACAGTGTAAAACTGGAGTATGAGGCGTTTTGGAATTGGATCCAAATGCGAAATCACTACTATCCGGCGGAGTCAGGTTCAGATCCAAATCCAATCCAACCCCAAAAACTCTCTTGCCGCTATTCGCCCTCTTCAACACCGGCAGCGCCGCCACCGCCGCCGGATTCCCCGAACGTCCATTATTACTATAACTACTACTATTCAACAAAGCCGCTGCCCGGTGTCTCCTCATGTGCCCGCCCAAGGCCTGCCCCATGGTGAACTCCACCCCACATATAGAGCAACAGTGCATCTGTTTGCCCTTATTATTACTATTACTATTACTATTACTCCTTGCTTCCCTGCCGTCCCGTTCTCCGCCCGGGGTGGGTCCCGCCACGAGCCTGGCCCGCTTGTGGCTGGCCCGGTGGCCGCCCAATGCCTGGAACGACGCGAACTTCTTGTCGCACGTCTTGCACGCGAAACTTGTGGACGCGTCCGCTCCGGGCAGCGACAGAAACGAGGTGGCGCAAACGTTTGCGAGGAACACGAGCCGCCCCACCGCGGCGGCTCGGTCTTCTTCCATGCTCATCCTTTTCATGAGAGTCTATACAACTTGGGGGTATGAAACTATTTCTTTTGGTAAATTGAAGTATGATAATGTCTTTGGTTTAGTATATATATAGGATTTGTTTTGTGTTGAGTCTTGACTTGTGTACGTGTGTATATTTGACCCTCTATTCTTTTTTTATAATCCTAAATATTTTTCACACTTCTATTACCGAGATAAAATATCAAATTTTTTCAATTCATTTTATTTACATATTGGTATAGAAATAAAAAAATAAAATTTACATATCAAAAAACTGCATGAAAAATTCTTCGAAATAAAAGGTGTCAAGAATATTTTATTTTATCAAAAATCAATGAAAACGTAGAAATAAACAAAAATTCTCGCGACTGCTAAAAAAGCAAGTATGACAAATATTTTGGGACGGAGGGAGCATAAATAAATTGACTTCAAGAATAGTGTGAGGCACGTCTAGAAGTATATATTCAATTCGGCACGTGGACGGTTTAAGTCTAACGTTTAGAACTATCCATTCCTCAATTCTCAGCGTTGTTTTTATAAAACTAGCATTTTGACCCGTGCGACGTACGGGTCGATCAAAAAATTTATTGATTCGGGATTTCTTTTCTATTTTTCTAAGGCTGTGTTCTTTTGAATTATGATTTTTTCTAGAAAATTTCAATAATAATTTCTTGTGTTTGGTTTTATGAGTGGGAGAAATTTATTTTAGACGAAGGTTCATTACTTCATTTTCATAATAATTCCTCGAGTGACTTGATTTCACGAAAAAATGAAATATTTTCTCCATTTCGCACTCACTCCTTCCAATATCCCCCACCCCCAAATCTTAGAGAATATACATGTTTAAAATGAAAATTTGGTACGGTCACATATAAAAACACAAATTGTATTTGCTTTCGAATACTTCCTTCGTTGACTACAGCTCCTCTTCTTTCATTTTTTTCATTTTCCCTAAAATACTTTCTTTTTTATTAAAAGGGTTAATATATCAAAATAAAATCATTGCAATATATATTTCATATGTTTTGCATTAATATAATAATTTATTTAATTAATTTGTATCTTTTTTTCCGATGCTGACGATTTAATTCGAAAGTCAAATTACAAAAATAAATCTTGCAAAAGTCGAAACATGAACTGTTTTGAAGAACAAATGGAGTATATATTAAAATTATTCCTAAACATTGTGTTACACTAAAACTCAACACTGTAGTAATTTACAAAAAGAAAATATTTCCTAAAAAATACAGAGTAATAGAAAATGGTTTTTGAAAAAANGGGGGGGGTCGAGGGGGGATAATTTTTCGGGTAAACCATTTCGCCTAATGCACGGTTAATTAGAAATATTTTCTAACTTTTCTATTCTTTTCTAACTTTTCATAGTTTTTCAAACTTCTAGTTTTTTTCTTCTAAAATTTCTAACTCTTTCAATTTCCTTCTAGCTCATTTAAGTTTCTTCAAGGTTCTTTTAATTCCTTTCAACACTGATTTAAAAATTACGTACATGCTTTTGTTATATTTTTCTTATTATAACTATTGTTATTGTTGAAGATTTTCAATAGAAATAAAGACCTCAAAAAAGTGTCACTAAAAAAAGATGATGAAATATATATTTTTACAAATTACTCCATTTATTTTCTATATTAAAATATTTTAATTTCTTTTTTAAGAAAATATATCTTCTTTTAGACTAATACCATCGGTACCCTGATGTGATATATAATGTTTTTATTCATATTCTTAATTATATCTTTGAGGATATTGTAGTTATTAGTAAAAAAAATAGATTACACTAAGAGCATGTTTGGGAATAGCGTTAGCGTTTTGAAAAGACTATCTACGGGCAGCGTTTAGCATTAGCATTTTCAAAGTAATATACACCGTTAAAATTTTATCCAAAATGCTAACGCTAATCTCTAAAGCTATTCCCAAACAGACCCTAAACCATAAAGTATTTGTTATAGAGTATTAAAATTTCTTTATAAAATATTGAGACCCTCAATGTATTAATTTTATTCACAATAAAATTTCTACTTAAATTAATTAGGTGATACACATTCTTTATTTTATTATAGAAATCTATATTTATTTAAAATTTCTCTTTAAAGAAAACAATGGACATCAAGATGTGTATGATTCAAAATAAATTTATCAATGTATACAGAATATAATTTTAATATTACTTACATAAATTTGATTACATTTTATGAATGATGAAATACATTAAACTACATCATGAAATACTTCGTTAGTTATTAATCACCATATACTTTTACTATTAGGAAAATATATTTAGGGATCCACGCCGCAAGAAAAATCTTATTTACGAAAAGAATGCTTCCTGCCATGTTTAGGCTCATGAAGTTACATAGAATAAATTAAAATTTCTTTGAGAAGAACATGAGATTGTTCGAAGTAACCATATGTGAGATTATATTAAGACTCGTGAAGAGCTTATTTTACATCATCAGCTTCTTCCTTTCGGATGAAGTCTTCTTCGATTGTAAAACTGAAAATGCACCGGCTTCTTGTAAGGATTATCAGGTAGTATTGATCATATCAAAAATAATTTAAAGTAACATTGCTTAGATAACAAAGTTGTATCCTACACTTTTAGTATCTCTAAATAACAACAAACATCAAATAAAAGATAAAGATTACACTCAAATAATTTTCTGAGTAGATTCCTTCTAAAGAATCTTTTCCTTTACCTTTTTTCTTGGCTTGGGATTTTGTACCCATGATTCCATCACATAAGGCTTGGTTGTTGTGGATTCCACCACCCCACTTCTTAAGATTTGCTTCAAGCTTATCGTTGAAGTTTTCCTGAAAATAGAAGTTGAGATCAGATCCTCTAGATCAATAAGAAATTATGGAAGTCATATATGTTTCCATAGTTTCAACTGATCTCACCTTCACCGCCTCCAAAATATTAGGGAATTCCATCTAATTTTTATTCTTGACTGAGGTCAAACTAAACATTGCAACACTCTTCTAGTGATTGAGGATGTAGTTTTGGATGTGACATGGTTAAGAGATTAGTTAAACTAAACTCCAACCCTTCACTGAGAGTGAGCACCTAATTCTCATTTTGTTTGAATTTCATAAGTTCCCTAATCTTTTACATTAAATTTTAATGTATATGAAGTATTTTTAAGAGAACACTGGTGATGTGTACACAATAAAGTTGGGGTTCAATTGACTTCAATAATCTACATATTAATTTTTATAATCACAAACCTTTATATCAACAAAATTCTACCTAATAAATTATTGTCTGAATTCTATATAATAAATGATTCTAGACAATTTCTTTGAGGAAAGGACAATAACTCTCACCTTAAATTCAACCATTAAACAAATATATATCTTGGCTTCCAAATCCTTAAAGATAATGGCACAAAGTTGACACATCAATATATTGAATAAGTAATTTGGAAAAGGGATGCTAATGTATATAAGAGTAATGAGGCAAGAGCAACGCACGTTAAACAAATAATATGTGGGATTTAACTGGCCGAAAAATGTTTTACTTACCATGGATGACACAGAAGATCATGTAGGATACAACTTTGTGTTGTGCAAGGCTTGTTCCAAAAGCTAGGGACTCGTATTTTGCTATGCTTACTCGGGAAATGATGCTACAAACAATTATGCATGTCAACAGTGGAGATGGAAGAATTAAATAATCCAAGATGTTTAAGAGAGTATTAAGAAAAAAAATAGAATAATTCAACTTTGAAACAATAATTATTATCATATATAACAACCCAAATCAGTGAAAGTGCTTTTACCCAAATCATATATTGCAATATAATAAAAAATGACCCGTGTTTATTTAATATAATGCAATATATTAATATAAAGCAAGGCCACATGTCAAAGCTTTAAAAAAAGCAAGGCTAGATCTATATCCTTGAATTTTGAAATGATTTGCTCATTGAAACAAATGCTAGTCACATTATAAGAAGGACAGAACTCATTAAAGTGTGCACGTTTGACCTCAACATTGAAAAGATGTTATTAAAGGCCCCTGGTTGTATATCTCTACCTGGGATATTCTGCATGATAATTTAAAATAGTAATTAGAGGATGGTTAAACGAAGAGAAACCAACCCTACTTATACATTTATACTGACAAAAAATTACTGATGGGTACCCCTCATTTTGTGATAAGAACTGTCGGGTACCCTTAATTTTTAAAATATACTCGCAGGTACCCTACATTATTGAAAAACTTGCCAAGGAGGGATTTTTCATCCCTCCGTCATTTTAATCATCATCATATTCATCAATATCATCATTTCTCCTTACCTTTATCTTCTCCAATCTTCCTCCTCCTCTTCCTCCCTTCTTCTTTTTCTTCTTCTTTTTCTTTTATTCTTCTTCTTCACGTCCCACCACGGTAGACTCTTCTTCATCTCATGGTTGCTCCGGGATCTGGCGGCCAGCTCTGCCCCTTCGTAGGACCTGCTGAACACCCGCTCGACGAACCTGGAAGGCATTTGCTTGAGCGCATTGAATCGCCCCCGTCCCTGAATGATTCCTTAGGGAGAAAATCGTCCTTCGAACAAGACCTCCGCCTCCTCCATGTCATCGTCTCTCCTCCGCCATCCATATTCTTCAATCTTTGCTAAAAACACAATCGAAATTAAATGATATAGCCCGATGAGTACTCCGTATATGTTTAATTCAGAAAGCGAATCAAATCAAATTTTGGAAGATTGAGTCGTTAAACAAAGAGATATGGAGAATCAAATATGCAATTAATCCTAGTTGCATATGAAATAGTGATGAGCATAATTAAGAAAGCAATTCAAAATTTTGCATGGATTTAAATAAGCGAAAGAAAAAATTGAAGATTTAATTCATATAGAGAAATTAAAAAGAGGAGGAAGAAGATTGAAGAAGACGAAGGAAAGGAGAAGAAGAGTATGAAAATGACAGAGTAACTGACGGATGGCCTTCCTGGCAAGTTTTCCAATAATGTAGGGTACCTGCAAGTATATTTTAAAAACTAAGGGTACCCGACAATTCTTATCGCAAAATGAGGGGTACCAATCATCAATTTTTTTTATACTGACCAATGTTTTTTTTAACAAAGAGAAACCAACTCAAGAATCCTCATAGAAAACAGACATAAAATTACAAACACTATAATTATCAAACCAAAATGTGTGACAAAGGCATGAAGAATCCTTCAAAAGGTACAAAAGTGGCACCAGACATTGAACGTGGACAACGGCCTACCATTCATTCCAAAGCCAGGCACCCTGAATAACCCAACTTCAAAAAAAAATTGACACAAGTACCATGGGCTTAATAGTTAACAGAGGGTGAATTATTAGGCATATTATTATGCAGAAACTTTATATATAGCTATAATGCTCGTGAAAACTAAAGTATTTAATTAGGCATATTATCAGCTTATTCACGGTATGTAATCTGGCATGCCAACATTATGAATCAGAGTAAGTATATTGGAACTTACCAATAGAAAATGTGCAAGGCAATATAGAATCAAACAATTAGCGGATATGTATCTAGTAAATCGAAGAAGAACAGTAATCGAATATGCACGATAAAATGGGGGAAACATACCAATTACTATTAGCAGTGATTATAGAGCCAATGAATCTCGATTTTGATTTTTGAATCTCAATTTGGGGTATTTTAGATCTAAATGAAGAGAGAGGTTAGGATGAAAAGATACAACACATTCAAATTTCCTTTGGCGACGAAGAGAAGCCATAATTGAATCGAGAGAGAAGATCGGCCGAAATTTTGAGTTTCCTTTTGAAGAGATAGCAACAAAAAATCCTAGAAATTGTTATATAATCCCAATCGAGATGGAGAAATAACTTACCGAAATCAGTACCCTTATAATTTAAATTGTCAATTTTATACTCCCTCCGTCCCACTGTCTTTGTCCACTTACCTTTTGGCACACCATCCAATGCACTTCTTTAATCCATTTTATCTTGTAATTTGTATATTAAAAAATTATAGAAATTATTTATTAATAATCTATATGTTAAGACGTATCAAACAAGATCATACATGACTATTTTTAGGCTTACACATTGAGAGAATTTGATGAGTCAAAGTGGTTAGATGAACAGTTCCAAAAGTCAAATGTGGACAAAGACAGTGGGACGGAGGTAGTACAATTTAAGTACCTTTCACTCTACCCTCGCCGTACCTCCCTTCACATTTTCTTAAGGTGTTTTTTAATATTTAACTTTAAATTTTTAATTATAGTATTATTTATTTATTTATTTTTATATGTATTATGTGATTTTTTTTATTTCAAGTGATAAATATAATTTTAAATATATTTCAATGTATTTTCTTTATTTACTATATATTTGAATTGCTTGCGTTTATGTTTAAGTTGAAATGTGGCATTGTGATATAGATTGCGTTTGAAATATAGATTATTTAATTACTTTGTGTTTGATTCTACATGATCTGATCTGAGATTGTTTACTTGCATTGATTAGTATGAGTTATATGACTTTTAGAAGAGTGTAGTTTATTTGTTAAATGTTGATATTTTTTTAGATGAACAAGTGATGGATGGAAATGTTTACTTTTTTTATTTTGATGCATGTTGTTGATTAATTTGGTTTTGTGAATATATTTGTGTTCTTGATTGTGTTTGTAGTTGTTGTGTTGTGTTGTTGTTCTTTTTGGTTCTGTAATTTTGCACAGAATTCTGTGCAAAATTGCAATTGTGGTGGATGGTTGGCAAACAAAGAGCGATGTAAAAAATAATAATATTTGCATCAGTTATTAGCTAAAAACCGATGCAAATGCTCCTTTCCCATTTCTGGGAAGGAGCATTTGAATCAGTTGTTAGCAAACAACCGATTCAAATGCTCTTTCCCAGAAATGGGAAAGGAGCATTTGCATCAGTTGTTTGCTGACAATCGATGCAAATGCTCCTTTCCTAATTCGGGGAAGGAGCATTTGCATTGGTTGTTATCTAAGAACTGATGCAAATGCTCCTTCCCAGAATTGGCGCCACCTCTGGGAAGGAGCATTTGCATCGGTTGTTAGCTAATAACCGATGCAAATGCTCCTTCCCAGAATTGGCGCCACATCTGGGAAGGGGCTTTTGAATCGGTTTTACAATGGATGCAAATAGTTACCTCAGCATTTGCATCGCGAGCTTTTGCATCGGTTGACAACCAATTTAAAAAGGTAAAAATAACTGATTCAAAAGACCTTTTTTGTAGTAGTGTTACCATTTTTTATAAGAATGTAAATTGTAACATATAATTTGGGGAGGGATATGATTGATGTGTGCTGCCATTTGTTATTATTTGATCGGTATTGTTGTTGTTGTTGTTGGTAGTGGTGATTTTAGTGTCATTGGCTATTTTGTGTGATTGGATTTACTTAGATCGGGCAAGAATTTAAATAGACGTTGTCAAACGAGTTAGGAGGCGCGGAGTGCGCGCTCGTTCAACGATATTACAAATTCATAGCAGAGTCCAAGGGGCGGCAGCCCCTGGCGGGGTCCAAGAAGGGGCAGAGCCCCTGGCCGGGAATTTTTTTATTTCGGACATTTTTTCTTTATGAAAATCCTTAAGATTTTCGTGATCGGAGTCTAAAACAATAAAGGACTCGAACAAGTGGATAAACGTCGAATTTGACTCTAAAACCGTAGGAGACCTTTCGTCGAATTTAGAATTTATTGAGGATGAAATGTTGCTTTTTAATGATGTATTTTTAAAGAAATGCTACTTTAGAGTAAGGATCTTATCGACAATGAATTTTTTAAAGTATATATTTTGTTTTCTAAGGTTTATTTACGTTGTTTTTAATGTACTATTGCTCGAGTTTTGAATGCTACTTTTTGCTAAGTAGGTAAAAATTGCAAAGATTTTTACAAATTTAGGTTATGCAAGCTTGAATCAACTATTTTCAATCTTTAACTTATAGAGTGCATCTTTGGTTTACCTAAGGTCCAAAAATTTTTTGTGAACCTTCTAACATAAAAATTAGTTTTTTAATTTTTTATAAAAATAAAAATAAAAATGCTTGTTTTAACATTAAGCAAATGCTTATCAACTAAATATATAGGTGCACCGTGGACCTTAGGTCAATGATAGGAATTGCCTAACTTATATAATTAAATAAAAAGTATATGGTATTGAAGAATTGATATATTCCAATGATGTAATGTGTGAATACAAGGGAGTATGTATAGTAGAGGTTTCCTAGTTAAATTAGGAAACCTATTATGTTAGGAAACCATAATGAATAAGGACTATACAAAACATGGAAACTACTATATACAAAATATACTAAATATATACTTGATATATTTAACATGCTCCCAACGGCACTGGGGACAAATGCCGAACTCCCAAGCATTCCAAAAATTCTGAAAAAATGATGGATGGAAGGCCTTTCGTGAAGATGTCAGCATACTTGAGGGACGAAGGGACATGGAGTACTCGAACCTGGCCGAGAGCCACTCGATCTCTAACAAAGTGTATGTCAACCTCGATGTGCTTCGTGCGCTGGTGCTTAACGGGATTTGCATAGAGGTAGACAGCACTCACATTATCACAAAAAACAAGAGTGGAGCGGCTGAGTGGTTGCTGGAGTTCTAGGAGGAGGTTGCGTATCCAACTAACTTCGGCTACGACATTGGCTACTACCCGATATTCTGCATCGGCACTAGATCTGGACGTGGTGAGATGGCGCTTAGATGACCAGGAAATGAGATTATCGCCAAGGAATATGCAATAGCCGGATGTGGACCGGCGGGTGTCAGGGCAGCCAGCCCAATCGGCATGTGAGTAGGCCCGCATATGGTCCGTATAAGACTTAGAGATGGAGATGCCATGTGATGGTGTGCTGTGGAGGTATCGTAATACCCGCTTCATGGCCGTGACGTGAGGCGTGCGAGGATCATGAAGAAAAAGACAGAGCTGCTGGACGGCATATGTAATCTCAGGACGAGTGAAAGTGAGATACTGTAGGGCCCCCACAATGGAGCGGTATAGGGAGGGATCTGGCACAGGTGATCCTTCTGAGGCAGACAGCTTCCCTCAAGTGTCAACCAGGGTGGAGACCGGTTTGCAGTTGAGCATGCCAGCTTGATCAAGAATATCATAGAGAAACTGAGTTTGTGTCAAGAACAGGCCATGAGAGGTGCGCTGAACATTAATCCCAAGGAAAAAGTGTAGATCCCCCATATCTGTCATAGCGAACTCGCCCTTCAACCGTTGTATGACCCGCTGCAGAAGCTCCTGCGAGGAAGCTGTGAGAATAATGTCATCAACATACAGAATGAGGAAGGCCATCTGAGACCCTTGACCATAAATGAACAAGGAGGTGTCGCTCTTGCACCCACGGAAACCAAGTGTAAGAAGGAAGCCAGTGAAACGCTGATACCAAGACCGGGGTGCCTGTTTCAGACCGTAGAGCGCCTTGTTCAGTTTGCACACATAATGTGGTCGGGCAGGGTCCTGAAATCTAGATGGTTGGGCCGTGTACACTGTCTCTGTAAGGGCACCATGTAGGAAGGCATTCTTAACATCGAGCTGGTGAATTTGCCATCCACGTGATATGGCCAAGCTAAGAATGATCCGAATGGTTGCCGGCTTGACCACCGGGCTGAAAGTCTCATCATAATCTATGCCATGACGCTGATTGAATCCTTGGACAACCCATCTAGCATTGTACCTCGACAGTTCACCTGTAGGGCCAAGTTTGTGTCTAAAAAGCCTTTTGCCAGAGATAACATTTTGGTTAGGGGAGGGAGGTGCTAAATCCCATGTATTATTAGCAATAAAAGCATTATATTCATCTAACATAGCATTGTACCAATTTGGATCTTTGAGGGCACTACGGTAGGTGGGGGGGATAGGGGATATGCTAGCAACGGTGTTTAGGTTTAGGACGCGTTTGGGGCAAAAAATCCCGGGCTTAGCACGGGTGGTCATAGGGTGGGTGGCCTGCGGGTTGGGGACAGGAGGCGGGATGGGCTGGGTT